TATAATTGAGCCGCTGTAGGCACATGGAATATTTAAACCTTTTCTTTAATGACTTTATGGGCGGTCAAGAGCCAGTCCCTTAGGCAGTCTATGTAGGACTGATCCAGCTCTCAGATTCAATCAAAAATATCTTTATTTTTGTTCCGAAGATGAACGAAGGTCTTACGGGGTTGGAACAGCATGGGGGTGAGTAATTAATGACTTAATTTTCATTTTTGGGTGAACTAACCCTTTAACTATTCCGGCCTGTTCTCCGATGTTCCTTCCCAGACTACATTGCTGTGTCACGACATTGATGTGGGAGATAACCAGCCCATTAAACAGAATAAATCCAAAGAAACGAGTCGTCATGAAAGCTGAGGTAACATATTTGCTAGAGCATGGGTTTGCAACTCGCAGCCAAAGTCCATGGAGTTCACCATGTATTCTACAGTAGTGCCAAAGTCTGACTCCACATTCAGATTCTGCACTGACTATCGTAAAGTTAACGCTGTGACCAAACCAGACTCTTTTCCTCTTCCAAGAATGGAAGAATGCGTTGACAAAGTTGGTGCTGCTCATTATGTTACAAAGTTAGATCTGCTAAAAGGGTACTGGCAAGTCCCGTTAACTTCTCGTGCCTCTGAAATATCTGCATTTGTCACACCTGATTCATTCCTACGTTTTTCTGTTGTTTACCTGGAGACCGTTTTCAAAAACTTGCACTTTGAAACCCGTTGCATTTTCAGGCGCCCAAAACGCCGTTGTCGTGTAAACGAACGAACTTTCTTTTGTAAGTTTATTGTAGATTGTTTTCAGAAGGGAGTGCTTTCTCATTTCCCCAATATTTTCTATTACTGCAATCCTTCCGATCTTGAGAGATAATAGATCTCATAATGCACAGCGTGTGGAAACGTGGAGCAGTTATGCTACAACAGCAGTAGGCAGTGTCAGGTTCACTTCTGACAGACAAGAACTGAAAGCTGAGGAAGGAGTGAGCAGCACAGGTTTGACAAAAATGGAAACACTGGAAAAACATCCTGGTCTGATGAATATCAGAATCTGGCAGCGAATGCATTAATCCATGAGCTGCACCTGCAGGGTGTGAACAGTCCCGGATGGAAGTGCTGATGTAATGTGCCAATGTCTTCAGGCCATTAACACCAATCAATCATCACTTGAATGGGAACACTACTGTATATGTCAGGCCCAGGTCCAGTACTCGTGAAGTAAGCCCTTTTCAGGTCAGCCTGTGTACTTGAGCTAGATGCCCTATATAGAGAGCCTAATGCTACGTTCACACCGGACGCGAATAGGGCGTCAGGCGCAAATGATTTCAATGTTAAGTCAATGCAAAGACGCTTTACGCGCGTGAAAAATTCCTGCGGCGCGAATGAGCCATGGAGCGCGGCGCGGAAGACACGAATACGCCTCATTCGCGCCTCAAGTTCGCGCGAATTGAGCGTCTGGCGCGTTACGCGCGAATGTGCCATTTGTGCATTCACGCGTTTGACGCGAATTCGCGTCTGCCGCCCGAGTTGAAAAATCGGAACTTTGGCGTGAATTCGCGCCGCGTTAACCAATCAGGAGCCTAGCTGCTTGCTCACGTGGTGAAGTGTCTGGATGCTTCAATAAATTATTTTGTTAATATGAGTGGGATTATTTTGTTAATACTAGTGGGATTATGCACAACAAAGCTAATGTTTTATCACTTAAATCATTATTTCTATATACGAGACATGTTCATTTTGTATTGAATGTTATTCATTCCATATCTAGATTATATGAAATAGTATTATGTTGTAAAGACAATCAACATATGTGCATAAATTCGTGTCTGGACGTGAGAGAGAGAAAAAAAAAAATCACAGGACAGGTTAATAACGTTTGAAGGCTGGCTCTATTTATTATCAAAACAAAAATAAATGACAGCTAGATTAGGTGGATGAGGGCGAGGGTGATCCTCGCTCCGATGCAGGACAACAGGTCATCAAACTGGGCGCGTGACAGGCGGAAGTACCGCTGACAGCGGCCGTCATCCAGCGCAGCTCCTGGAACGAGCAAATGGTGAAACTCGCCAAAAGGTTCGCCTCCGAAGGGTCCGGTGGACACAAATATAGGGCGACGATGATCCCCACGCCGCTGTTCTGCTCTCCAGAGTAAATACAGAGCGGTAACTCTCTTGATGAATGCTCGGTCGACATAAAAACAATGGCCGCCAACGGATTTCGATTCTGACGCGCGTCACGCGCGTAAATTTCGCTTCAAACTTTTGTTTTTACGCGCGCCAGTTTCGCTCTTGACACGCAAATTAACACAAAGTGGTGAAGCGTCAAACTAGACGCGTCAGGCGCGAATTTGACGCGCGATTCGCGTCCAGTGTGAACGTAGCATAAGTCCCTCCCCTTCCGGTCGACCACCTTATTTCGGAAAAATATTGAATGGTAGTCAATGGCGAGAGCCAACAAATATTTTGATCTCATTTGAATTGTGCCCTGAATTACACATATGATGTTTGTCAATTTAGAAGATACATTTTAAAGTAAAGAAAGTCGCAGTTTGATGTAAAACCATTGAGGTATAAGACTGTGAATTACAAAGACTACAAACCCCAAAGGCGCACATTTTCTCTCAATGAATGAAGCTAACTTTACTGAGGCTAACGTCTGTCATTGTTTCTACAGTCTTACGTTATAACCGTAACGTTACGAGTGTTTTGTACCAGACTGCACACACACGAGCATCGCATCTCGTTTCGCTTCCCGGGAGATGTAGTTCACAGAGTGATTTTCACATAAAACTAAATGTTACTCTTCTGTTGTATGACAAACTGCGACGTTTTTGACTTTCAGAATTATCTTTTAAATAGAAAAACATCATATGTGTAATTGAGGTCACAGTTCAGACGGAATAAAAAGAGTAGATGCAAACCATCTTGTTTTATATCCGTATGTCCGGGGGTCCAGATTCCACTCGCCAATTCTCATTAGCCTTTTCTCAAAGCATCAGAGGTGTTTGGGGCTCTTAAGTGTGACCCCTAGTGTCCGTAATTCCACACTACGTCTCGTTCCCTCAGTCAAAAGTAGGTGATCTCCGACGATGCAACGTAAGGAGAGGATGGGTGAGAGTAAAGAGGAGAGAGGAGAGTAAAGATGGAAAGCTCCTGAAGCTTGTTTCCATATAAATACACGGATGATTTTTTGTTTAAGTTCATGACATTTCCTCATATGGAGTCAGTTCATTCAGAGATCGTTGTATTCAGAGATCGACTACTTTTGACTGACAAAACTCCAGCCGCCGGAATCCCTAACTGATAAAGTGAGTCGTACAAAACCGTTGTTTTTAGTAAACTTTGTGTACACAAACAATGAACTAAATGCTCAAGCTCATGTGTAGAGGCCCTGGTGTTATTTTGAGCATTTTTATGTGTCGAGCTTTCTTACGGTTTTAAAAACAATGATTTTGATGCTATCATAGAAGTGCCCCATGCACTCCCATTCAAAAGGCAATTTTACCAAAAACGAATCTCAATCTTAAAAGTGGCCCATTCTAATTATGCTTTTACACAAAAGTCGGGTAGATAAACAAAAAGAGTTTGTTTATCTATTGAATTTTACCAATTTTGGTTAGTTCATGTTAGTTAATACATTAACTAATGTTTAACCCTCAGGTGCTCTTCGGGTCATTTCTGACCGAAAATTGTTTGAATTTCTGAAATTTTTGAAAAAGTTTTGAATTTCTAAAAATCACATCTTCATCGGAATGTTATGAAACTTGGTGACTTTTATGGCATTATGTATGTGAATACAAACAAAATTGAGGTCGTGATCCAAGCATGCTAAGTGGTCTTAAAAAAAATAGTCACACTTGAGGAAATGAATGGGAAATTGACAAAAACACAAAAATTCACAAATTTTTATTTATTTATTTTTTTACATTTTTTTTTTTAAATAAAAAATCGTTTTTGAGATTGTTTCAACTATATATTCAAATCCACCAAAAAAAAAAAAAATGTGTTCATAAACATCTGGGGAATTCACATGCTTCTCCATAGAGAGCTGTACATGTCATCTAGTGGTTACACCATGATTCTAGGCTTTTTCTCTATACTGTAACCAGATGGAGCTAATTTTCTTCAAAAAATATTTTTTATGAAGGCCTAGACTCTATATTAAACTAAAATACTGCATTAATAATTTTTTAGAAAAAAAAAAAAAAAAATATATATATATATATATATATATATATATATATATATATATATCATGGCAAAATAGACCATAAATATTGCATAAATATTAATAAATTCAATCAAATTGTCTCAAAATACTAAATTACAAAGAATAAATATTATAGAACAAAAATAAATTGCATTGGTTTTACTGGGACGGAGGAAATGTAATTTTTAGGTGTCCGGTCACTTTTGACCAGGAAGATAACAAGTGTGAATCCGAAACGAAGAGCACCTGAGGGTTAATAAATTAACTTTATTGTAAAGTGTTACCAATACGTTCAACACAAGAAAAGCCTGAATATGGGCTTTATTTGCTAATCATATAGACCTATACAGCGCTTAACAGCCGTTACATATCACAAACCAAGCACTTGATTCATCCTGGTTAACTACTTCACTAAAACCCTCCCACACTGTAATTTTCTTTCTTTCTTTACTTTTATTTTATTTTTAATTCTCCTTTCTTTTTAATTCTGTTGGATCTGCTTTGCCTCCATTTTTACTTAAACAAGTGGAGCCCGCAACAGTTGATGGACCCCATTGACTTCCACAGTAGGAAAAAAAAGTCAATGGGGTCCACTGTTTGGTTAACAACTTGATGACCGAATTTTCATTTTTACGTGAACTATTACTTTAAGCTTGTGCATATTTCAGGTTAAGGATAGGTTAGGTTGTTAAGCAATTTCTCATGTATAGGCTTTTTTCTTTGCGTTTTATATAATGACCTCTAGAGTTATAGTGTAGTTACGCAGATTATGTGGATATGGTTAAGGGAGGTTTAGCATACCTAGGTTGACATCTAGCGCTTTATCATTGAACTGCGTCTCAATGCTGTGGGGAGAAAGGAAATCTGCCAACAGCTGACTGTTACTCAGTTCAGGGTGATGCAGCAGTTTCTGGAGAAAACACACAGAGAAAATATATTATATTAAATTACATCAAATGAACATACTTGAGGGATTTTCACACTTGAAATGATTAACCCTGGGTCATTATAAACCCTGAGTAAACGGAATCCTGGGCTATCTTGATTCACGTTTTGCATTGCTCATAATTTACCAGGCTTAACGATTAATCCTGGGTATTCATAATTTTCACACTGTATAAAATTTTCACTTCCTGCATATTCAAGGTGTCAGAGTCATTGATTGGACGATCTGTTAACATAAGGGCCCTAGCATTGTGCATCCTCATATTACACTATTGCCTTTTTTTCTGAATGGATCTTTCGGACTGTAAAATGTAAGAACAAAACTGTCTCACCAAATGCTGTAACGACTTTTTATACGGTGTTTCTGTGACTGTACAAAGCACATGAATATGAGGCACATGATTGGTTGTCTATTGCTAGCATCTAGCCTTAACATTCTAGCATTGCATAGATTCACACTTCACACGTTTGGCGTGACAATGCAGGGTTAACACTGTAAAAGTCATATTCCTCGGTAAAAAGCAGTACTAACCCCACCTCTAAATGACAAGTATTATTATGGTCATTTATCCGGGGTTAAAAACGGGTTTCAGCATGATGATATCCTGGGTTAAACGCAGTGTGAAAAGCCCTTAGGAAAATGATTGTGTCTACTCAAAAATATTGTAGATCACCTTTTCTTTTCACATATTCCCCCAGTTTCACAAACAAAGCTTAAGCTTAGTCCCGAACTAAAATGCATGTTTGAGCTGTTTTAACTGAAACCAGCTTGCACTGACATATCTTAAAATGTGTCACTGCCCTTGTTTTGTTTTAAGATGCACGTCAGTAATGTTTTTTCTAAGGCACACTTATTAAAAATGCTTAAATGTCCTAATTGAACTAAATCCTGGATTAATCTAAGCCCTGTTTGTGAAACTAGGCCACTAAGAAGGGTTGGGTATCGTTTGAATTTGAACGATTCTGATTCCGATTCCTTGTTTCGATTCCGGTTCCTAACGATTCTCGATTCCGATTCTTTTAAGAGGCAGAGTCAAAAAAGTTTAGCTAACCTTGCTAACCAACGGTCTTTCTGAAGGAAATACTCCTTCCGTCACAAATGCTCCTTTTGTCACAAATTTTGCCGAGATTTCGTTATTTTTAGAAAAGTGAAGCCACACTTTGGACCGCCGACGTAAGCTACTCATGTTCGACTCGCGCGGTTATGCCAACACAGGGTATCTGCACATTTTTAACAGCAAATTTATTGACTTTTAAGACCTTTTTAAGTCCTCTAAAAGGCAAATTTAAGATTTTACCACGACAAAAAAAAAGGAAAATAATCAGCACCACACGACAATTTAATAATTTTGGCAGCCATTTTTGTTTTAGTCTTAGTCTTCAGATGAAAATTCTTATTGGTCTTAGTCACATTTTAGTCAGTAATTTTGTCTTTCATAGTTTTAATCTAGTTTTAGTTGACAAAGTCATTGCATTTTTTGTCAACTTTTATTCATTACTTTTAGTCAAACTTCAGTTACCGACATTAATTTTGGTTGCTATTTTATATGTAGTCTTTAGACAAAAAAATGACAGTATAATTTTTCACTTTAGGCCAATTCAATTAAGCTTATGGAGACATTTGAATCAAGGTAACAGGCTGTATTGAGAATGCACTCTTTAGCAGTAGCACTTGTGCAATTCTACAGATCCCTGTTCCTCAGTTCAGTGGTTCTCCAATTTTTTAGAACGCCATAGCCCTCTTGCACTCAGACTGCAGTCACAACTTTTCCATTTAAAACCCCTTTTAATCGATTTTTTCCAGTTCATTTTTTTACCTCTATAAATACTTTGTTAAAATAAATAATGCTTTAAATAAAACAATGTTCAATAAATATCCAATGATGGTAAAAACGAGGTGACACTTTTAAACATTAAATTAAAATCGCCAGTAGGTGGCGGTAAGTCACTGTCTTTATGAGCGAGTCATCCGTCATCGAGTCATTCATTCATCAGTAACAAACATGGTAACAAAGCAAGTGGCTGTATTTATGAACGGGTCATTGAATCTCACAAATTCGAAGTTCTGCAGTGGCTTTCGTTGCAAAACAGCAATAATATGCAATAATATGATCAACATTAAAAACACTGCTGGATATTAGCCTGTATTGATCGCAGATTTAGTCGCACAAACAGCTCGTGACAGAATAAAGACCAACTGAATGACACTTTAATTAATTCAAGTAGATAATCTCAAATGAATATCACTGAACTCCAGCTACTTGTCTGTTTTCAGATCATCCGCGCTTCTTCAGCAGTGTAGAGCATGGTTGCCAGATACTATTGACAAGACCGGGTAGAAAACGTGTTCTATGAACAGAAAAGCTCTGACTGGGGATTTAATTATTTAAATCTGGCAACCAAGCATTAATGCCCGTAAACACAGTCTGTTAACAAAACAAAAAAACGGATGACGAGTCGGACAAGAAAGTTAAGGTCCGCACGTGAAATTTAAGACCTCCTCATCGGAAATTTCAGATTTTAAGACATTTTCAGGCCTTAAAAAGCGAAAATTTTATTTGAGACGTTTTAAGACTTTTTAAGGACCCGCGGGGACCCTGTAACACTTCCGGTAGACGCTTCTTCGTTGGCGTTCAGCAGTTTCTTCTTCCGCTCGGCGGACTGTGAATATCGAAACTAGGAATCGAAATTTTAACTTTTGAACGATTCCGGGAAAAACGAAAAGTTAGTCCCGGTTCCAATCGATACTCGATTCTCGACACCCAACCCTACCACTAAGTAAACGATGCTTTCAGCAAATCATTGTTAATTTGATGATATTTTTCAATATCCATTTAGCATTTAACTACGGTAGTTGTAATGTTATTACTCACACTGCAAGAGACTTTGAGCTTGCAATTTAATTTGATCAATTTATGATTTTACTGATGTAACCTTATGGCATAGCTGTCAACCCTCCCGTTTTTTCCGGGTTTCTCACGTATTTTTGCTCTTTTCCCGCTGTCTTCCCGTTTTAGTATCTTCCCGTAAAATATCCCGTTTTTTTACTATGATTGTGTGAGACGTTCGAGCTCGGGCTGATTCGGCTTGAAGTCGTTTATCCTCGGATGCGGCGCCGCGCGCGCTGGCCGGAGACACACTGGCTGTGTGGCGTGTCCGTTTTTATTTCGGTTCCCATGTTAACAGATTAGAGCTTGCACACTCCAGAAAACGCGTGCATGCTAGAAATAGAACTGACGCCTATTTTTTCAAGCGACATGCAAGCGTGTTGAAAGCGTTTCCAGGCAAAAAAAAAATAAACAAAAAATAGGAAACGATGTTTATATGTCATTTTGTACTCGAATAGCCTACATTTTACATTTTGATGTTTGAAAGTCAAGGTTTTTACATAAATTCAGATATCAATGTAATTTAAACAAATAATAATTATAATAATCGATTTATATTGCCATTAGTTTTGCCTATATATAATTTAAGGTCATATAACATGAATAAAATATCTTTTCTTTTTTTTCCATTTGTTTCTTATGCTCTTAACAATGTGATTACACGAAGAAGAAGAAAAAACTTTTGGAAAAAAACGTTCTGGGCCTCAGGAGGATATAAAGATACGATAGGCTACAAGAACAACAGAGTGTGTCTTCTGAGTGACGGTCCACCACCAGGCTAAATATAGGCTCTTTAAAACTACACAAAATGTGTAAATGTAATTGAAATAAACAGACAGCCCACTTCCCTATTTTGTGGGTTTTGGAAGATGTGATAACAGTTGAAATTGTTGTCATAAAGGCAAGAGCAACACACCGCTAATCCAAATGTAGATTTTTTTTTCTTTAAATGACACTAGTTTCTAGGCTAGTTATTAACTCTTTAGACTTTTAAGGATTAGTGCTTTATTTTTAAAGTTTGTGGGTAAGAATCGTGTAAAAAAAAAAAATCCCTTATTTTGGGGATGGATCCCGGGAAAACTCCCTTATTTTCAGTGTTCAATGTTGACAGCTATGCCTTATGGCAGACGGATAATGTTTATACTGTGTTAATAAGATGAATCAAGTGTATAAGGTCAAGTAAATTACCTGTAAATATTCCTCAAATTCCCCTCGTTTGGAGGACAAGAATTCATAGTTTTTTGGTCCAATGATTCTTTTGGAAGGAAGTTGAGCATCCTGGAATGGGCCTGTGATACAAAATCAAACTACAGCGATGAATAAACCACAAACATGTAGGCTCAGTCATGAAGAGAGAGAAAGACAATACTTAACCTTACCATGAAACTCTGTGAGTTTGGATTCGAGCACATAAAACTCCACGTATCTTCTGTACACAGACCAGCTCTCGGTCTCATGCCCCACTGCAAAGCAAACAAGAACGTTCACAAAGTGCCTCTGTTCTCACAGAACATTGACGTGATTAAACTTTTTTTTCATTTATTTAGTCTAAACGTAGTTTTTGAAACTCACCATTCTTCCTGTCGTGGCGTTCCACGTCGATGCAGAAGACTGGGTTACGCTCTTTCTTAACCTCATCCTCAGAAAAATCCACATAAGGGATTGAGATGGTCCAAGCGGAGAGGTTGCGGGATGATCCTGGAGTTCCAACCCCCTCCACAGGCACTGGAGAGTCGTCCTCAAACACCATCACTGCCTCCTCCACCTGACAGTAATAAGAGCAATACATATTTCAAAAAAGAATAAATATATTATTATTTAAACCACTTAACTGTCACCGTCCCACAGGTGGGACGTTTGCCACTATATTTTTAAAACAATAATATCTTAGTAAATGCCTTAAATAATATTGACAAACTATATATCATTTGAAAGCTTACAATCTCTAGTTTCCATATTTGGTGACTGATTTTCAAAATATATTACAGAGGAGCCATAATTTATCAATATAAAACAAGAATATTTTCATACTCATAAGGCGTGTTCAGACCTTTGTTTTAAAATAGCAGTAAACATGAAAAATCATGAAAAAATGGTAGATACCTCAGTTTGTTTTCATGCCAAAAGTTCAAAAGATAGAATCCATTCAATTATTTTGGAAAAAAAAGGTCTGAAAAGTTTAAAATATCAAGAAAAAAATAATAAATTCACCATTTGTGACGTGGCAGCTAGCTATGACTTACATGCGTGTTCTTTGTATGTGTTTCTTAGAGGTTCAATTCATATCAAAATCTGCCAAACTTCCCATGCTACTCCTGAATAGGATCTCTACTTCAGAAATTGTGTGAAAATTGTGAAAATAATGGTTCATATCACTCAAAACACGAATGGAAATGCAGGCGCCCTTATATGGGCAGTAATGGAGTCTGATTGTGCCCTAGTGAAAAAGTTTGGTACTGCGCTCAAACAAAATCTTACTGAAAGCTCATTTTTTGAGATATCAACCTAAAATTTGAAACACAACTTGTTCAGATTTTTGGCTTTGAACTTTCTGCCATTTTAGAGTAGCCCAGGTTTTGAAAATATATATTTTATGTAAAATATGAATAATTAATATTTTTACATTGTACATTTCCATAAACTCAAACTTCTATAACTTTTTTTCTGTTTCACTTTCTTAATTTATTTCACTTCTACAAAAATCTGCCAAATGTCTTCTTTAAAACAAGACCAATCATATGTCTATATTCCAAAGCATTCTTGAATTACAACCATTTAAGTTCGAAATGTGCATTTTCATGTCTATTCAAAAAAGGGGGGGGTGACAGCTAACAGGTTAAAAAACAAAGAATACAATATATATGAAAAAACCTTAAAAAATACCTTTAAAAATTATTTAGAAGTCTAATTGCACTCGGAACAAAAGAGAATTTGTATCTATTGTTTTTAGTTTTTGGTAATCTGTACCGACGACCCGAGGGCAGCATGGAGAACTCTGGATATAAGAAGTGTTCTCTGTCTGAAATCACAGAATGGGCTCGACTCAAAACGTTTCTGTTAAACAGACCTGACAAACCTCTTTGCTCTTTACCTATGATCTTCCCACTGTTTTTGACTAATTGATTTAGTGAGTTTTTGTATTTCACACTAAGATATCCAAACCAGCAGCTAATAGAGAAGGACAACACTGGCTCTATATAAGATTTGTAGAACAATTCCATCAGTGTCTTGTCTATGTTAAAGGGTTAGTTCACCCAAAAATGAAAATTAAGTCATTAATTACTCACCCCCATGCTGTACCAACCCCGTAAGACCTTCGTTCGTCTTCGGAACACAAATGAAGATATTTTTGATTAAATTTGAGAGCTGTATAACTACCACATTGGCTCCTAAAGGACTGCCTCTTGACGGCCCAGAAAGTCAATGAAGAAAATGTTTAAATATCCCAAGTGACTACCGTGGCTCAACTATATGTTTATCAAGCGACGCGAATACTTTTTGTGCGAAAAAACAAACAAAAATAACGAGTTTATTCGACTATTTCTTTTCTTCCTTGTAGGCCAGAAACGAGACTTCCTTATAGATTTCCACGACGCATGCGCGAGAATTGCGATCTGAAGTAGTGTAAGCTGGTGTGAGCAGATCGCAAATCTCGCGCATGCGTCGTGGAAATCTAAGGAAGTCTCGTTTCTGGCCTACAAGGAAGAAAAGAAATAGTCGAATAAACTCGTTATTTTTGTTTGTTTTTTCGCACAAAAAGTATTCGCGTCGCTTGATAAACTTATAGTTGAGCCACGGTAGTCACTTGGGATATTTAAACATTTTCTTCATTGACTTTTTGGGCCGTCAAGAGGCAGTCCCTTAGGAGCCAATGTGGTAGTTATACAGCTCTCAAATTTAATCAAAAATATCTTCATTTGTGTTCCGAAGACGAACGAAGGTCTTACGGGGTTGGTACAGCATGGGGGTGAGTAATTAATGACTTAATTTTCATTTTTGGGTGAACTAACCCTTTAAAAGACCTCAGTTTTCTGAGACAGTAAAGGCGCTGCTGTCCCTTTTTACATAGAGCCTCTGTGTTCAAATCAAGGCGCAATCTTTTATCAATAGTTGTCCCCAGATATTTATAGCTTTCCAAACATTCCACCTTCTTTGTGTTCTAAAGTCAATACTCATGTCTTTTGTCTTGGATACATTGAGCTGCAAACAGGCATCATCACACCACTTTACGAAATCGTCAACCACTGGACCATGGCACATTTCATTGTCTTCTAAAAGACTCACGATAACTGTGTCGTCTGCAAATTTTTAAAAATACCTATTTTTATATTTGCTTATACAGTCATTTGTATATAAAATATACAATAGAGGAGACAAGACACATCCTTGGGGAGAACCTGTAGATGTTATCAGGGGAGCTGAGAGACTACCATTTACTCTCACTTTCTAAAAAAAATCTAAGACCCAACCAACCAAGTTAAGATCAAGACCAAAATTAGTGATTAACTTATCTGCTAAAATATGTGGTTGTAGAGAATTAAAAAGCAGATGAAAAGTCAATAAATAAGAGCTTGGCATGTGTTTTACTACCCTCTAGATGCTGCAGTACCATATTTAGTAGAGTAGCTGTTGCGTCTTCAACACCTCGCTTAGTTCTGTATGCAAACTGTAGAGGATCTAACAGATCCTTAGTTTTACTTAACAATTCATCTTTTACTAATTTCTCAGAGCATTTCATTATGAGGGATGTTAATGCTATTGGCCTAAGGTCATTTAATGTTACAGCACGTGTAGTTTTCGGCACTGGCACTGCAGTGGCTTCCTTCCAAAGTTTTGGAAATCTCTGGAGGGCAATTGATCTTTGAAAGATATTACAAAATACTGGTGCTAATTGTTCTGCACAGACCTTAAGTAAATGCCCTCCAATTTTATCTGGACCAGGGCTTTTTTTCACATTACAGCCCTTGAAGACTTTCAACACAGACAATTCATCAAAAAAATTATAAGAACAACCATAACTCGTTTTAGATTTCATAGACTCTATCACAGGACCATCAAATCGTAAATAAAACGTATTTAGGTCCTTATTTGAGTCATACCCTGGTAATTGAACTTTCATGATCTCACACCCTTTAGTTCCGGTTATAAGCGTCATCCCTTTCCAGGCAGACCCCAAATTGTTCATACTCAGCTCTTTCTCAAGATTTATTTTGTAATTTAACTTAGCTTTTCTCACTTCTATTTTTATTTTCTTCTGCAATTCACTTTTTTCGACCAAATTACCCTCATGAAATGCTCTACATCTTTCGTTCATAAGTGCTTTGGGTGAATTAGTAAACCATGGCTTATTGTTTGGAAATATTTTAACTGTCTTACGGGGTATAAGCATCTCTTCACAAAAGGAGATATAGTTACTAATGACATCTGTAAGGTCATCTATATTTGAGCAAGAGTCATAAGAGTGTATGTTTCTGGCATGAGCTGAAGGAGGAGGAGGGGGGCCGACCGATGCGTACTTGGCGATCATGCTTTTGGACTAGTAAGAACGTTATGTTGCTTGCATACTATCTCTTTGTTTTTTTGTCTGCCTTACTATGTTACGGAAGCTATCTTATCCTCCGTTTATCTTCAAAATGAAGTTAACTGGTGTTTTAACTTCTAAACGGCGTGTACAAGTTTGGTAGGGGCTACATTCTTGCGAGTAAATATATAAGATGTACAAAATCACATTTTAGGATACCTAACATGTCTGTGATATTCGTTTATTTTTCTTGCCTCAAGCTATAATGCAAACCGATGTGTAAAATTTGCAGATTCATTTATGGTAGCTTGATATTATAATATTGATGATATATGGTTATCTACCACTCAAACATTGCATTGAAGCGTCATATAGATTCAGTAAAACGGTAACCAATAGACTAGGCTACTACTGTATAATGACGCTGGCTTGAATTTGTCGTTAGAAAAAAATAAAACCCATGAAATTATATTCATGTGACATGCTGAAATATATGCCACTGTACCTGGGATGAAGACATTTCACACGCGACGCAAGCAGAACAGCTGCATGTGACGTCCCCCTACAGTGTTCAGGGCTATCGAGGTTGTCAACAAATGCGCGTGCGTGTAGGATGACAGAGTTTACGACAGTAGTAGAGGACAATACTGTTTCCCGACTGTAGTGGGAACCCCGATAGCAAAAACTCCCTGGTGTTACTTTAAAGGTGGAATACCTAAGATTTTTGCATTCAAATATCCCAAAAATCACAAGGCTAGTGTTATATATTTAGTTATGATGATAACTCACAATATTCCAAATGTTTCAAACAAAGTTTAAATCGCGAGAAAATTGAGATTTTAACCAAGGAAACGGGGCGTGTGAGCAAGGGGTGAGCTGGGAGTCGCGAGTCAATCGCGTCATATCCGCTTACCTCGGTTTCCGCTCGTACTACGTGTAGTCCTGGACAAATGCGGTAGTTGTAGTTGTGCGTTAGCGTCTATCAAGCAACAAACGTCAGCTTGTTTTGCGCATTTGTTATGGAATGGAGCACAATTATTCTTTTCATTTATTCTGGGAATGTGAACTGTTGGCTGTAAAGGGGGTCACACACCGGACGAGAAGCGTCGCGCCACGTTTAGGACAACTCCACAGTAACGCCGAATGGCGCTGCCGGTATGTGTAACGTTACACTTATAGTTAATAATGTTTTCGAATTTTAAAGATGTGACGCGGCGCTGCAGCTTCTCGTCCGGTGTGCGACCCCCTTAACGTTAATTTTGTGAAACTGTAGCTGTGGTTACTTACACGTAGACATGTGCCGGTAATCGGTAATGCGATAAATCGCGGTAATGAATATGCACGATATTGTTATCGCGGGCTCTTCAAAATACTGTATTAACTTATTTTCCATCAACCGCTCAAACACTGCGTATATGCTGCGCAAAACACGCACGCACTCTGATGTAAACAATCCCCACATAAGCACTGTGTGCATGCGACAGTGCGCACTAGTCAAACAATCCTCACATGGAGTAGAAGCATGGCGGAACGCTCACGACGATTTATCCCCGCAGGGCTGCCAACTCTCACGCATTCAGCTTGAGACTTTCAGACAGGACGCGGAATACGCGCGCGACGCTGCGTCGACCTGCATCGACCAACACACGCCGGGGTTAAAGTTCAAAATAGTTCAACTTTTTATTTGTAAAATGGCAAATCGCGTTGTATCTGAAGGGCAACGTTGAACCAAGCGGCCAGCGTCGCGCATTCCGCGTCCTGTCTGAAAAGCGCTTAACGCATTTGACACTTTTCACACGCTCTCCCACAGAGAAAAAATCACAGAGCAAAGAGGACACTGACACCGACAGACTAGACAGAGCAGATTACTTTTGATATGAAAGTTGTTATTGATAAATCAGCTCTTAGGTTCTGATCACAGATCGTTGCTCCTCAGTTCAAGTAAACCGATCATGTCACTTTCGTTTTTATTTAAAGATACAGTACAACTTACCGAAAGGTATATTTACTTATACATAATAACGATCAATAAGTGTTTTTAAACACGGAAAGAGGTCAGTAACACTGCAGGTCAGTAACAGTTGTGTCACAAAACGTTACATTTACCTCAGGAAAGCCATTTAATGACCAGCAAATTAGTTGAATAGAAAAAAATAGCAAGGAGTATTTTTGCTAAATATTATATTTAATTTCTCTCTGTATGTTTACAGCATTATGTGTATTTTTTTTTTCTTGAGAAATATTAAAAGACTGGGGCCTACCTAATGTTTATCCAAAAGAGTCAATATTGAATTAAGACTGAAATCAAATCCAAGAATTTAATTGAAAAATACAAACAGTAACCTACCAGTCATTGTACCATAAACATTGTAACATGTTGTCACTAAACTTTAAAAAATTCTTTAAATAGTTTAAAATTAACTAAGTTTTTAGAGACCCACAATGCATCTGTTTTTCTTGAGCATTAAAATATTAATTTCATTAAAATATCGTGATAATACCGTATACCGTGATAAAAGCTCAATCAATTAACCGCAGCATGAAAATTTGATACCGGCACATGCCTACTTACACGACATGAAAAGATGTGTTAAATGTACATTAAATTGATTTTTTATTTTTATAAAGTAACCAAGGAGGACCAGCCACGTCAACTCCTTGCAAGAGACCTGCCCCTTCGAACCCTCTCCACCATAGCTTCGTCCAGTGACTCGTACAGTAACTAATTTACTTGTAAACCTGACTTTTCTTGCGGTTATTTCAGTTTAATGAAAAACAAGCATGTCATTAAACGCAACGTTTACAGAAATCGAACTTTACCTCATCCATGACAACTAATTTTCGATTCCCGTCTGACTGATTTATCCACGGTGGAGTTGAAAACAACAGTTCCCATCATTCCGCGTTCCTCCACGTCGTCATCAAGCAAAGCCGTTGTTGTTGTTTTGAATGTAGCGCCCTCTAGCGGCATCTAAATCTTAGGTATTGCAGCTTTAAGCAATGAAACTTTCAGGATGTTTTACGGTACGAAGTCCTCTTATGTCAAAAGATCAAAGAAATGTGACTTCTCATGTCATGACCCTTTTAAAATTGTATTTTTTTATTTTTACATAGAAAATAAAGAAAATAAGTTGTTGCTATGGCCCCAAAATTGTTATCGAGCACTGTGAAATTTTACTACTGGCATTGACTACTGAAATGTTGGTATCGTGACAACACTAGTTCTGAAACTGTTCAGTGTCAGCACGTTTCTAAATGTTTTGTCTCACCGTGTCGTCTTCTCCTTCAATCATGGCATATTGTGGCAACATTGCGCCCTCCATCGTGCTGCTCTTAAACACACCCTTTATCTTGCTGCCAATTCGGCTGATCCCAAACGACTCGCCACGCTTCGACGTGATCCTGCGTGCAAAAACACACAGCGGTCACAGATTCCGAATGGTTGCTTAAAAAAAGACATACAGCACACGACACAGCAACAAAGTCACATGACCAATGACAGGGTATATAACTGAACAAATCATAAATCACAGGAAATGATGGGTTTACCTAAGAACATGAGCAATACAGATACAGGCTCAAACAACGCAAGGCAATGCAGACAGTCCAGTAAACCCATGCAGCAATCCTGTTGCCCGTGCAGAACTCGGACCAACTTTACCTCCAGAAAACGCTTTCTGACAGGCAAACTGGTCTAAGATGAGCACGGAAACATCTTCCACCCCAGACTTACTTCCTGGGGAGGGCTGGTGATACTGTAGGGCGACGTGTTATGACAGATGTGGGTGAGGCTCGGGAATTGACCACTGGAGACCTGTGGCCAGTGACATAATTCCTGGCCAAAGGGATGCTGTCAAGTCTAAATGAAGCAAATAAGCATGCCAGCACAAGTAATGAGGGGGGGGGGGGGGGGGGAAGAAGAACAAAAACATACACATCAGCAATAAAAGGACAGCTGGAGATGGGAGAAGACAGATTCAAATGCACAACAAATTATCATTCATTACTAGTTCATTACTCTAAAGCAGTGGTTCTCAAACTTTTTCAGGAGGAGGCCCCCTTGTGTAGGGTGAATCCTTTTGTGGCCCCCCAAAAGAAAACTCATAACGAAAACATCCACAAACGTACAATTTTACTTACAAATTTTAGATTGTACCAAAAACAAATGAATTTGTACAATGCTGGAACAACAGTTCTGTTTGTAGCTTTATGTCTTTGAATATACAAAATTAGTTAAATTGTACATTTCATTAAATATAACATTTTTTTTTTTTATATATAAAAAATGGTTTTGACAGTTAACAGTAATATTGTCTGAAAAGTGCAACAAAAGTATTGAATACTGAACATTTGTGATGTTCATAGTAAAAGATGAACACTGAAAAATTAATTTGCTGATTGTAAAAAAGTGCATTAAACTTCTTACATTTTAGGTAGTAAATGACAGTGGCTCAAGTTTGGTTTGCAAATTTGAACAGCAATCTGTTTTTTCAGCAAGAAACAAAAAAAAAATCTACTCTACTTAAAGAAATACTTTTTCAATATAGAAGACATACAATTTTATACAAGTTTTACAATATAAAAGAAATCATGCAATGCAGATTTCACATAGGACAATCCAAACTTACATACAGGTAAAATAATTTTTTTAATAATTATTAATAATAATTTCATATTCTAGAATTTCTTTGCGGCCCCCCTAGCGCCATCTAGTGGCCCCCAGTTTGAGAACCGCTGCTCTAAAGGATCTAGTGCGTGTAGCAATTTAAGTCAGCAGTTAGTTTCAGCTTCAGATGGCATTCGCCATTCGCTGACCGCCTAAATCCTAATGACACAAAACTGATCCAATCAGATTGCCCGACTACAGCGTAATATCAATGAGTCAGAACAAAGTATTGTTTTTTCTCATACTTCTACTTTTACTTCAGTAGATATTTTCGATGAATTTAATACTTTTACTTCGATTTTTTTTTTTAATGTTCTGCTAGTTACTCGTTACAATTATAAAAATTTTACGAATCATTCGTTGCAAGTTGGCTTTCGTGCTGCCTAAATCACACGCCAGTTTTATTGGGTAATGGTATTGATTGACACACACATTTACAACTAATGCAGGGGTCGTCCTGCAATGACATTTTTTTGGCGGCCGCCAAAGCAAATTTGTATCCCGCCAAAGCGCCTAATTTGATTGCTAGTTCAAACTTTTGACTGCTTTCTTTAATAATTACAAGACACAATACTTGTACTTTTACTTTTAGTACTTAAGTAGTGAATTTTAAAATAAACTACTTGCAATACTTAAATACAAAAAATGTTGAATACTTGAGTGTGTTGCTTAAAGAGCACTTCAACTTCTACTCAAGTCACTTTTTTGATAGAGCACTTGTACTTTTACTCAAGTCCGGATTTCTAGTACTTTATACATTGTATTAAAAACTGCATATGTTCTTGTTCTGCAAGTTAGCCATCTCCTCACATTTGCCACAGAAGCATCTGTATGACAAGTAAACATGATGCAACAGGTCCCTTGCATAAATGTAATTTCGCTTGTACGTAGCAAACTTTATCACAGTATGTATATGTAGTTTCAAAAAATTGCGCCAACGTTAGTGTTTGCGTGTGTCCGTGTGTGTGTTGCACATCCATAATTGCAAAGGGGACGCGATTACAACTCTATAAGTACATAAATGTATCAAATAACCATACCGAGACATACTGATCTATTCTCATTTGTGTTTATTCTGCCGAAGTCTCTTCGTCATCTGGGTCTGATCAGAGACTATTTATATATTCCGATTCAAACATGTACGGCTGAATGACATTCAAAACTGCACGTCTCTCACTCTCTCAGCCTTTCTGCTTAGACCGACTGTCATAGGTATCAAGTGACGCCTTCATCCAAAGGCAGGGCGGGGATATGCAGCTCATTTGCATTTAAGGTCGTATAACCCAAAACAGCTCATTTTAAAACAGGCCCCAAAAATGACTTTTTCAAATGGTTATAATAAATTAACTGTGGGGTATTTTGAGCTGAAACTTCACAAATACATTCTGGGGACACCCGAGACCAATATTACATCTTGTAAAAAGGGGCATAATAGGTGCCCTTTAAATGTTTCTTTGTCTTCAGCTTGAGCACATGGCTCTGTCTTTAAGTTGGCCATGTGCTCCTCATTGTTGATCGTTCCCTGTCTACTGTTTATGAACTGTGACCACCTCTTCACCTGCCATCCCTTGATTTGTTTGCCAACTTGTACAAACCTGTAAACTCATTCTGCATTTGAGTTCTCTCTCACGGTAATATTATCCAGACTACATATCTCCACAGGGAATCAAATGTCTGGTTACACAAGACAGGTCAGATAAGCCCCTTTCACACAGAGATTCTGGAAAATACACGGATAATGTGACCCGGCATTTGTCCAGGGATTGTTTTCGGTTCATTTGCACTGCCAGTGATTTACCGGGATTTGTGAGTGCGTAAAGATCCCGGAAAGACACATGACGTCAGGATGAGACATGTAACGTACGCGTCGAAAACATGTACGTGCGCATACCGTTCCACAAAGCTGGTGAACGATCTCAGTGAGGAGCTCCTGGTATCTGCTTCATTCCAGTTTGCAGACATTTGTTCGTCCTTTCTTTGTTGATGACGAACACAAACTTTCTTCTAAGAGCAACAAAGTCGCGCGATGGCACGAGCGTCATCACTATGTGACGCACCCCTTACGCCATTGGTCCTGGCTTTTGTTCACACAGGGCGCATTCCGGGACTGATTCCGGCAATGCCGGGTCGTGTTTGCATTCACACAGAAGGCCTTCTGGCAATTTCCCGGCAATTACACACATTGTGTGAAAGGGGCTATAGTGAATGTAAACAGCTTCACAAACTCATTAACAGAAGCCGTTTCCAACTCTAGTTGAGTCAAAACAACTATATTTAGTTTGTTTGTTGTTGTTTTTTTTTGGGGGGGGGGGGGGGCTGTCCCACTCTCCAAAGAGCAGACAATAGGCAACACACTTAAGGACTGCATTCAAGTTTTCTCTTTTACCCCTTTTCCACCAAAAGAAGTACTGGTTCGGAACTGGTGCTGGTTCAAAGTTGGTTTGGAGTTGGTTCAACTTGCGAACCTTTTCAGAACCTGTTTGTTTTTCCACTGACTAGAGTGCCCAGGGAGCGACGTTGTTACGTCACTGTGTACGTCGCTGTACGTCTTAGCTAGAAATGCTTCCAAGTACAACATTACTTTGGGATTATCTCTTACTCGTGTACCAAGAAGGCTTTAAAAACAATTGAAATATGCAAGTCTTTTAATATTTTCCTTTGATATTTGATATTTTCTGATTAGTTATGTGCCCCTGTCCTTTCCATTTATTTGTTCTATATCGGCTTTGCGATGGTCAGAAAAGATGTTTAGAGCACATCTAAACCCGGCCCAGCCCCCGACTTAAACATGACGGGGTAAAAGAGCGGTTCTAGTCCAGCAAAGAGTTGGTGCCGCTTTGGAACCAGTTTTCCTGGCCGAGAAAAAACAAAGACCGAACCGGCTCTCAAAAAGCTTTGGTGGAAAAGGGGTATATGAAGCTCAGTGAAATAAAAAACGGTCAAAATGGCCACCATAGAGACCGCACAAACAGTAAACTGTTGTAATGGACTGGTTACAGTTGAATGATGGATTATCTCAACAGAAGAAATGAAGCAGAAAATATATCCATCTCAAAGAAGGTGGAGCCTCAGATTCACAACTGCCTATTACAGACCCATAGTAATTCGAAGAGGTTTTTAACTTTTTAAACCAATTAACTTAATTTTGGTCTCTGTTTTAGTTTGAAGTGACTCGTTGAATTGACTCGAGCTGAATAATGACACTATTGTCTTCTGTACAGATGATTTGTAGTTGAACTGAGTTTGTTAATGTTGCAACCTTGGTCAGTTTAAAACACTGTTATTGAACTGAATGAAATCCACACTGAACTTAACTGAGCTAAATCATTACATTACTGTCTTTTGAAGAGCCGTCTGCAGCTGAAATAGAGGTCTTTCAATAAATAATTAATATTTATTATATGGTTTAGAACTGTGAAGCTGCTTTGAAACCATTTGTATTGTGTGTAATGTGCTATAAAACTACAGCAAGATGGAGATTGTCTTCACGGTGAGCTCCTGTTCCCCATTCATTCGATGCCAAAACGGGGCATTTAAAAACGTGATGGGATCAGTGGGAAGATTCAGAGGCAGTCGCTTAGTTGATCAACCATCTTCCTTAGTAAATGTTCAGTGTGAGAGATCCTCAATTACAGTGTCAAGATTTCAGCTAAGTCAGATGAATGTTGTGATCTTCCAACCCATTTTTGGGGTGATTTGTCTCAAACAGCAAGCTTTTCACACTGTGTGCAATCTGACACCCAGCTGGTGAAATTGGCAGAAGAAAAATGTAAAAACCATCTCCTAGAATCCTTCTGATGTGACAACAAAACAATCGAATGAAAAAAATGTGTTCAACTTTCTTCAAATATAGAATAGGGCCGGGCAATATAACTGAGAAGAAAATAAAACGTCATCTTATAATATTTCATATAGTGGGGAACAAAAGTCTGAGATCACATGGGAAGTCTGGTATTGTATGTAAACATTGAAATTATTAGAAACTTTTAGGATTTGGACATTGACTCCACTGAATCACACCAGACATTCTCAGATCATGTCAGCTTAAAGGAGTAGTTCACTTTTAAAAAAACTTTTGCTGACAATTTACTGATAATTTCCAAGATGTCCACGTCTTTCTTTCTTCAGTCGAAAAGAAATTTAGGTTTTTGGTGAAAACATTCCAGGATTTTTCTCCATATAATGCACTTTACTGGGCACCAAACGGTCCAAGGTCCAAAGACAGTTTCAGTGCAAACTGTTCAAAGGGCTTTAAACGATTCCAGACGATGAATAAGGGTCTTATCAAGCGATCGCTCATTTAATAAATAAATAAAGT